GCGGTTGTTAACCATTGAAAGATGTCTTTGAATTTTTAAAGCATTTTAGAACGCTTATTTCTTCATTTTAAGCTTCTCAGAACACTTTATTTCTTTCAAAATTAAAAATAATTAAATAAATAACAACAATTTTGCAAAAACAATAAAGAACATAAGAATATTATTCAATAAAAGCTTAGGTTACTTTGAATTTTCGATTTCCTAAAAATGTACATTTAAATCGTTACCTTTTTTGTTTAGTACTTGTACTTTTACTTGTACTTTTTACTCGTTACTTTTCAAAATGAGAACTTTTTACTTTTTACTCGTTACTTTTTAAAATAAGAACTTTTTACTTTTTACTCGTTACTTTTTTTGAAAATGCTTGTACTTTTACTCGTTACTTTTTAAAAGTAACGTTGCCATATATGTTACCCACCCTCACACTGAGAGCGGCCAATGATGCTTGACTTCGGTGATCTGCTGGGAAACCGTGTCTTAACGATCCGTCCACTGCGGGACTCTTAATAATATAAACTAGTAATTTGTAGCTTTTAGTCATCTGGCATGGGGAACATCTAATAATAGAATTGGGAATTTTTTATTTAACAAACACCAAAAAAAGAATTTGAAAAATTGAAATCAAAAGTTTTGAGATGGTTTAACACAATTCATGCTTTTAATACCTAACTTAAATATATGCAATAATTTCTCACACAGGGGGGTCCTAAAGCCCTTGCAAAATAGTTAGGGTTGTTTATACGGAGCTACTTAATATCTTCACTTTCACCCACTTTCAGAAAAAATTATGGCTATATATTTTAATTATTAGGGGCTATTCTGTGTAGGAAAATGATAGCAAGAAGTAGGAATATATGGGAAATAAGTCAACCAACTACGAAAATAATCCACTCTAAAAAACCTTTTTAATGATTTTATGTGCCGGGATAGCCTGGTCGGTAGGGCGCTGGGCCCATGTCCGAGAGTTCGTGGGTTCGAATCCCGCCGGCCGAAGACTACCCGTGTAGCAAATGGTGACTGATGCACATTAAATTTGCCGAGTCGCAAAGTCCTCCATGTTCCCATAACAAATCAATACCTCTGGGGGTACTGGATTGGAGATTGATCGTTCTCTGATTCAGGTCAAAATTACGATCAGTGGATGATGGATGGATGTATGAATGGGTCCACCATATAAACAGGTGTGACGTATGGGTGTGGCAGAAGTCGAATTCTTGGCCATAGATGGCGCCACTGGAAGACAAGAACAATAGCACCCTTCTGCCTTAACAGGTATACGTCAACAACATCAATTTTATGTTTAGCATACGTCAGCAGCAACAATGATTTTATTTTCTAATATATTTTGCTAAATCTGTTTATGTTGTATAGAAGTTTATATCTCTCTCGTTTAGTATTTACCAATTTTTTTGGCTATGGAACCCTAAATGATCGATCTTCTTTTGGCGAAACTCCGACTTTTTAAACAAATTATTGTGATAATTGAATAATTGTGAACGTATTAACTAATAAAAGTCTATTACATTTTGAAAATATTTAATACGAGGATTGACATGGACGTAAAATATCCTCAGTGGTAGACTGACCATGGGTTAGAGTTCCCTTGTCATCAGGCTTGCCGTGATAGGTTTTCATGGTTTCCCTCTCCACGTAACGCGAAAGAGGGTTAGTTCCATCAAAAAGTTCTCCGCGAAGGCAAATATCTCATAATACTTGATCCAGGAGTTTCCTTGTCTTCTGGATTAGGTTCAAAATTACAAGCTTACGGAGTTGAACATTGGTAGCCGTAAATTGAAAATTAGTCGGCTGTTCAACGACGGTTATAAAATAAAATAAGAGGATTGAGAAATATTTTCTTCATCTTAACATTATGTTTATGTTATGTTTCTTAAATTACGTTTTGTGTCCGACTGTGGAATTCAGTCCCAAATCTGAATATAGTCTAGCAATAATTATACGTTTAAGGTCAAAATAAATACAATAAGCGGAATTATGTTTTTCGTTGTAATGAAAACTTAATAGAACTGCTATAAGAGATAAAAATTATTGTTAGGGAAACGTATTTGTCTCTTAACAAATTTAATTATTTTATTATGCTTTAACAAGCTCGATGGAAAATGCTAACATAAATTTTTAAAAAGGCATAATCTTTCAGAAGAAAATTTATTCATAGTAATCTATTTTTTTAAAAAAACATTGCCAATTTTTATTGGCATTTTACTTCAAAAAATTCCATGAAAACAACCGAAATACCAAATGAATAATGTATTTTTAACTAGGATCTAAATATTTTCATTAATAATTTCGTCAGATTACAAAAATTGTTAGAAAAATCTGATTAAGAAAGAAGCCTAACTCTCGGAATCTCTTAAACTCTTCCACGGAACCCTAGGGTTTCGCGGAACACTATTTGGGATCCAATTTTTTAGTCCCTCATAAGTAATTTAACTGTTAAAATAATACGTCCACCCTTCAAATCACATTAATAGCAATACAATTAGCTAAATGTGATTAATTTAGAAAAGAGACGTACCCAGAAGATGATCTGCGATGGAAGAAAATAAAAGTCGTATTCAAGTAGTTATTTTAATAAAAACCAACTGGGATAATGTCGGTTTTTTTCATCCTTGATGTCAGGCTAACCTTGGAAGGGTTTTGAGGTTTTCATCTCTATGTAGCACAAAAGCGGTTAAGTTCCATTGAAGGATCCTTCACGAAGGCAAATTTCCCCCAGTACTTGATCCAGGAGTTCCCTTGTCTTCTGGATTGGGTTTAAAATTAATTATAAGGCTACGGAGTCGAACATTGGTAGTCATAAATCCAAAACTTTGTCTGCTGTTCAACGACGCGGTTATGAAATAAAATAAATTAAAGTGCAGAGCAATTAAACCACTGATTATTGAAACCCTAAGATATTAGCCGGCCTAAAGCACAACCACAAGCGAAGTGATCTTGTAAAGTTAGAAAAGCAACAAGTTGAAACAGAAAGTAAGAATGACATATCGGAAAATGTGGAAAAGATTGTAGTACGGTGGAATTGAAATGGTTGAAGTTATATGCAATTGAAAAAAATAACAAAAATGCATTCGATAGATTTCGGGAAAAATGGCGTGATAACTATTTTCTTTCTGTTGAACTATTTTTATTAAAATAAACTATTCTTATATTGGAATAAAATTAAAAAAAAAAGATTTAAAAAAAATATTTTTGCAATATATAGCTTATTAATTACTAAAAATCCCAAATATATAAAATTCTCAATTTCGAATTTTTGGTTGCAGATGCTGACTTGTCAACTGCACGGCAGAATAGAGATTTCGCATTTCTAGTTGTAATCCCGCTTGCTCTTTATGTTAAGTAACTGAGCATAAACACATGAAGTAGGCAAACGCCAGTGTCGGTTATGTGCACTTTTTAACTGGTAAAAAAGTAATAAAATAGTTAACGAACATGCGCAGTTACTTCAAAATTTATGTACGTAGCGAGTGAGTTGACACTTAAAATTGCGAAATCTCTCGAATGATGATTAATTCGAAATATGCTATAATAAACTTACCGTGCGTGATTAAAATAAATATAAAAACACATAACGGCAAAATGATGGATTTCATTTTCTTGAGTTAAAACGATATCGATCGCTAGTAAGCAAATAAATCTGAAGAATTTTTAAAAAATCCTCGAGTTTTATAAGAAAACATTAATCACAAAAAATAACATTAAGTGATATCAAATATTTTTAATGCTAATTAAATTGATAAAAAAATATCTGATATTTGAGTAGAGAATCTGATGTACTTTTGTCCTTGAAATGAACGGTTATTGCAAAATTATTTGTAATTAGTCAATTGTTTCATAGGTGCCGTTTCTCTAAATATTCTTTACAAAAATATATCTTCTCTGCATCAATATACAAGTATAATAGCGAAAGTCTGTCTGTATTTATGTTCGTTAAAAACTCGAAAACGGAAACACTAATTTGAATCGTGTTGTTTTCTACAGTTTGCTATTTTTTATGGGGTGGTTTGTTAATAGTCGTCGCTTTAAGGCGTCGTGTGGTTCACACGCTATATCGAAAATACAAAATTACATTGTATTAATCCATTACTACAGATTAAATTTTTCTTAATATCTTTTGAACAGCTTCACCGATTTAAATTAACAATAATTGGAATAATCGGGATAATAATAAGATAAAAATGTTTGCTCGGTATGCATCTTTTTGCACGGACTTCCCTTCAGTGATGATTTTTTAAGGTACTGAGCTATTGTCCGGTATACATTTAACCAGTATTCCTAAAGTGCCTTCTTTGGTTCTTTGCTATTGCCCGCATTTCCTACACTTATTTTTAATAACCAGTTAATTGCCAGTACCCCATATTTCCTACACTGATGTATTTTAAGATTAAGTAAAACTTCCTGGTTCATAATTGCCAGGTATTCTCTATACTGATTTTTTAAGGTTAAGTGACACTTACCGGTACAAATTTGACCAGTATTCCTTACACTGATAATTATTTTAACTGAAATACTGCTGATTTAATAAAATTGCTTAGTCGCAAAAGCAAATAATGTTATAAATTTTCCATCAAATATAACTTGCATATTTCTGAAGTATAAGTATAAAAATTAAGTATAAATTATAAGTCGTAAAAGTATTAAAAATTTAATGCTAAAATGCTTTCTATTATTTTTAAGAAATTTTTAAACCCAATTTTATCATACTATTATCATTATCATCAAATTTTCAACTTCATAGTACATTTCAGATGGTAATTTTTGTTTTCGCATGGTATTTTTTACTACAAGTTTACCAATTCTCGAAATAATTCTCAAATTTTATTTTATTTTTTAATCGACAGGTGAACAGGTTACCCAATTTTTTAGTTCCGAGGGTGAGTTTACGTCTATTAAGTAATCAACTCCGTAGCTTTGTAATTTCTATTCAACCCAAAGAACAAGGGAACTCCTAAATCAAGCATTAGGACAAACTAGCTTTTATGGGGAACATTTTAATGGAACTAAACCACATGGGATATGGAGAGAAAAAATACGAGAACCTCCCACTGTTAGCCCGACAGCAAGGGAACTCTAATCCATGATAAGTCTACCACCGGGGATTTTTGCGTCAACACTGTGGCTGGCATGAGCTGGATGCAGAATTCATATCGACCAGCCATCACTGGGATTCGAACCCGGTTCACCTCATTGGAAGACGTACAGTTCGCAAAAAAAAAGACATCACCCTGAATAACTTTCGTTCTAATGATCGGATTTTCAGGAACTAAGTGTCAATCCTAATGGTTCCTAGGGGTGACCTCAAATGCTAATATGCTAATTAATTAGTGCTAACTATTAATTTAGTTACGAAATCAGATACAAAAACGTACGTTCTCTGAATAAACATATAATTTTTTTTACATATTTGGATTCTTAACCTTCAAAATATAGGGGGTAGCCGCAATCTGGGAAATATGGTCCCCATAGTTTGGTCAGGAGAGCGATCCAAAGTTCGTACTCCTTAATGTTAATTTCACTTTTTACGTTTTTAGTCATATTTTAAAAACTAATAAAGCAATTCGAAGAAAATTTCACCCAGTCATAAAACTCATTTACCCAAAGATAATTTCACGAAAAAAATAATTTTTAATAATTGTTAATTATTTTTTATTATTTAATTAAATTAAGGATGAAAAATTTTTGAATTATAAGGTATGAATTTTTTTATACCATATTAATCTACATATTTTTCAATTGAAAAATCTAAAGTTTCAACTGTTTTTATTTATTAGAAGCTGCAATAAAAAATACATAGCAAGTTTTA